GAGGGGCAAGGGCACAAATCCGTGACATGCCACGCCAAGCTCTGGGGTGATGCTTGGATTCTAGAGTCTCCCTGGATGCATTCCTTTTTGATTTTGCTTTTTTTTTGTGGGGGGGGGGAGGGAGGAATTTCCTCTGCTGGGCCTTTGTTTTGGGCCTTGCTATTTAGAAGCAAGAGCCAGAGGGATTAGGGAAAGGACGGGGCGTCGCAGCTCCCCAGCCTCAGCTGCAAAGCCAGTTTATATGTCCCTGTGGAGCAAAGCCACTTTATATGTCAGGCGACGACAGCAGAACAGGTGGCAGGAAGCCCAAAACATGGGAGAGAGCCATGATCCCTTCTTGAATAAGACGTGAATAAGGCACTGCTCGGCCAGCTGTGGCTACCACGCAAGGTTTAAGTACGTTGCACACTTTAAAACAGCAGGTGGGGGTTGGGATGCAGACCTGCCAATTGCCAAACCCTGTTAGCTATACCAGTTGTGTACCGCGGCGCGGACTAGGACAACTATAAATTCTAGGGCTTTGCCAGCTCCAATTTGGGAAATTCCTCGACATTTGGGGGTGGAGCCCGGGGAGGGCAGGGATCTCAGTGGGGATACAGTGCCACAGAGTCCACCCTCCAAAACATCCATTTTCTCCAGGGGGATTAAACTCTGCAGTCTGGAGATGAAATGCAAGTCCAGACGATCCCCAGGCCCCACCTGGAGGCTGGTATTGCTGTACATAAGATCCTCCTATATAATTTTTGCACTGTTTAACAAATAACAACAACAACAACAACAACAACAACAACAACAACAACAACAACAATAATAATAATAATAATAATAATAATAATAATAATAATAATAATAATAATAATAATAATAATAATAATAATAATAATAGTACTTTCCATGTATTAATCGCTTTCCCCAGTGAGCCCAAAGCGATGTACAGTCACTCAATATAGACAAGGGACTAACAATGTTTTGTAGGGGATAGGGAAGACAACATATATTCATTTAATTGTACACGCCGTCACTGCCCGGGGTAGACGTCTTCTGGCTTGGCTCCATCGTTTTCCGCACGGCTGCT